TTGGGAACAATGGTGTTTAATGCTATACAAATTCATCACATGAAAATCGGTTGACAACTCCAAATACAATCCATTTTTCTACTCTTTGTATAGGGAAAGACCATGTTTGTCAAGTTCATAATAACACAAAGTGAAAACAGCAGTGTTTTGATCACAGGCAGTGACAGAAAACTGGTCCTGGATAAACCCTGGCAGGATGAAAGTGCCTTCAAGGCAGGGCTGATCCATGTGAGCCTTTCCATCCCCAGCACCTAGGACAGTGACTGGCATAGAAGGTTATTGAGAAATATTTCTCGATGAATTGGTTGATCGGTTAGTAGCTATTATCTCCCATACATATGCCCTTGTGTATGTACACACACACACACACACACACACACGGAAAATGCCTGAGGGCACCTAACACAGTTGTATTTCCTTCATCGTTCTGATACAAGGAAACAAGTCTACTTCTAATTATTGTTATGGTCTAAAAGATTCATACCTCTGTATTTTATCTTAAATTATGTGTCATCTGTTGAAGCTTTTAATAAATGCCTTCTAAGAATGCTACTGTGGTTTTCTTTGGGGTTTTTTGTCTTACTTTTTTCATTCAGGACATTTATTTTAACAAACAGTTGAATCCTCAAGATGAACTAGATGCTGCAACAGCTGCTCTCTGGGGTTTAGGTGTTCTTCCTTCACGGAATCCATTCCTGAATCGACGATAGACAATTTTTAGGTGCCTCATTCGACCAGTACTCCAATTATACTTTCTCTTTCATTTAGCAGGATACCCACATTTGCCTGCCACATGTTGACTCCTGAAGATGGTATGCCTTAGAGCCATAACGACGGCACAAAGTGTGCATCTTATTCCAGTGCTTACTAAATGAAGACATCTGCTTCGTCATCTTCCTCTTGCTGCTGGGAGCAAAAAGAAGGCTATTGTGGTTTTTGAAAATTTGATAGTCAAAGGAATGATTGCCTTTCAATTAGAAGCTAGTCAAAATAAAGATGTATTTTTTCCCAACCAAATTCCCAGACCCCCTGAAAACTTTCTGGGGTATCCCAGACTAGCGTTTCTGAAAGGCTGCGGCTGACCAAGCCTGGACTTCACAAGCTGCATCTAATCACGACCCTGTGTTTTTTACAATTGTTCAATTTCTGGGCAATTTATTCCTCAGTGACCCAGAAAGCAGCTGAAGGGCCCTCTAGGAACCGGATCTTCCTTCAATAACTTGTTATTTCTCACTGTTCTACTGAATAAGCAAGTTTTTAGTCATTGTCAAGCAGATTTTACTTTCATAAAAAGTTCTAGAGATCAAAGGAATGGATTGGGCGAATGGAGTCAGCCAGGCCAACAGCATTCATTGAGTCTGCTATGGACTAGGTGCTGTTCTAGGCAGCTGGGGCAGATGGCCTGCTGGGCCCCCTCAGACTCTAGACTGATGATCCTGTGAAGTCCTCAAGCTCACTAGGAAGTCTGAAGGCTTCAGGTGCGGGTTTGTCAGAGGACTGTGCTCTCCTCACACCTTATAATTCTATATCCTATTATCCTATAATACCATGGATATCCACTGGGTGGAAAGAGGGTCCCTGCTTAAGAGATAAATGACCAATGCCTCCTTCACACTGGGAGGAATTCATAGGGTTGTGAAGGAATGGGATGAAAGTCATCATTTCAATGAATATCATGATGATTGAATGACTGTTTAGAATCGGCAGAATCATAGGAATTATCGCTTGAAGACAATAATAATAACTGTGCATTTCTATAACAAGCTTTGCAAAACCATTTTCTAAATATGATCTCATATAACCTTCACACCCACCCTGGGAAAGAAGTGCTATTATGAGCCCGATCTCAAGAAACATGAGGTGAGAGGGTAAGTGACCCGCTCAGGGTCACAAAGCTATTAAGCGTCTGAGATGGGATTTGAACTCAGGTCTCCCTGACTCTAAGTCAGAGACTGTACTAACCGAGCCACCTCACTACCTTGAAATTTAGACCCACATTCTGCTGCAAATGAGGAATGTGAGCCCTAATTTCATCTCACGTGGATGCCAAAGAAAATGCAATTCATCTGCTAGTTTAATATTTCCCTAACCTTGGACAGGGCCAGGTGGGTTGCTTTCAGGCATGCCATTGAGGCCCAAGGGCTGCCAACACAGCAGCTGGAAGCACACGGCTGTGACACTCAGGGACGCCTCCTCTCCCCTCCCATCCTGCTTATGCCTTTGTCTGAAGGTTCCAGAGAGATTTACAGATTCCAGGGGAGATCCCTGCTACAAACTGGGCATTCAGGAGAAGGGGAGCCACTGAATGAGGTACCCACATTTAAGGGATTCGATGGAGACACAGAAGGAAGGTTTCAGAGGCAGACCTCCACAGGTCTATCCATGTCAGGCTTCACCCAGGGCTGCTGTTAGGATTTGGAGTGTTGGACTTGGGAGGCACCATGGTGGAGTGGAAGACCTGAGGTCAGGTCCTAACTCTGGCTTTCATTGGGTGTGTGGCTCTGAGCACCTCACTGAGTCTCTCTGTACCTCACTTTCTTCACCAGTAAAATGAGAATAACATTTGCATTGTCAGTGATACTAAGGCTAATAAGAAGCCAGATCTCTTGCTTTCAATCTATGAGCTACAGGGGAGACTGTTAGGAAAGGGAGAAGGCAAAGCCAAGGTTCTTATAGAGCGAGCTAAGGTTTGGGATGGGAAGGCATTTGCCAGACCTGATCCCAGCCCAAATATATAGGACTCTAAAAAGGATGTTGACCCAACAATTGTTCCCAATGGGCACTCTCAACATCCTTCCATGGTCCTATGTGTGTTGAGTGGCTAGTAGCAAAGGGCCAGGGAACTCCTTGATATGAAGCAACCATAAGTGTAGGGAAAATCAGCATCACAGAATTTGGGAGTCCTTTGGGTCACTTCAATGTCAGCTGGTCTAACCAGTGATGTCAAACTCAAACAGAAATTAATTGTTGTTGTCATTCACTCATTTTCAGTCATGTCCAACACTCTGTGACCCCATTTGGGGTTTTCTTGCCAAAGATACTGGAGCACTTTGCCATTTCCTTCTCCAGCTCATTTTACAGATGAGGGAACTAAGGCAAACAGGGCGAAGTGACTTGTCCAGGGTCACACAGCTAGTAAGTGTCTGATGCCAGATTTGAACACAAGATGAATCTTCCTGACTCTGGTCCCTGCACTCCATCCACCGCACCACCTGGCTGCCCCCAAATAGGCCTGGAAGGCACTTAAGGATCACTGCCGGCCAAACACTGACTTAGTTTAAAATGAAATGTTATCTGCTTTATTGTATTTTCATGTCTTTGTTAAATATCTCCCTACTCTTTAACTTGCTTCCAAAGCATTCCAGCACACTACAGCCAGGCAGCAGGCTGCATATTTGACCCCTCTGGTCACACCTACACCTGCATGGAATCTACACTCTAACAAAGCCCACAATGGTGCATCACTCAGTCCCTCCAAGGCCAGGCCTCCTGGAGCAGCCCCTCCTGCTTATGGACACCTGTGATGGTTAAGAAGGGGATTTGGAAAGCTGGACTCTGAGGGTCACAGAGTTTGGAGATCAGGGTCACAAAAGCAACTCCATTTCTATGGGAGATGTTTCATATTTCAGTGAACTAATTATTCATCGAGACGTAAAAGCAGTATTTTTGTCCTGCTCCTTGTAAGCCACATGGGGACAGAAGTCTTGTGAGAAAAGACAAGTCCCCCGTGTACAACCCTCCACAACTGGATGACCAAGACAAGAGGAAGCTTTAGGCTCAAAGAAGATGGTTCCACTCCCTTGAAGCTCTTTCCCTACTTCAACCCCAGGGTCCCCAAATCATGTCTGGCCATGGGATAAGATGGCTTACACCCCAAGGGAAATCGTCCACTTATCACAAAATCCCCAGCCTTGTTAGACGAAGAGGCTCAGAAAGAGGCCTTGAACCTTCTGGGAAAAAAACTATGTCCCAGCTACTCAGTGTGGTATGAGCAACAAATGTCCAACATGACCCAGGATCTGACCTGACATACCTGTAGTGAATGTTTTCTCTTAATTATCGCATATCAGCTAGGAGACAGTAGGGCCTAAGTCTCTGCAGTTTCTATCACTTTGTTATTGATTGCCTTAGATCAATTAATAATAGTGATGGAAACTTCCACACCAGGGATTTTAAAACAAGTGAGCAAAACTCGGATGGCCTCAGATGAGGAAAAAACAATTGTCTGATGCTAAGCTGAGATGGTGATTATATGATAGGAGAGAAATATAAATAATTAAAACATTGGTCTTTTGGGGAAAGAAATACTAAGGGCAGAACAAAAGAGGGAAAGGTGAATGTTCCCATCAGCGTGGATCATTCCAAAGGGGAAAGGAGATTGGAGGAGGGGGGAAGTTATAGGTGCAGATCAATCAACTGGCTCTAACCATGTACAGGGTAGGGACTCCAGGGTTCTTTCTGTTTAGAAACGAGATATTCCTTCCTTCATTAACTCCAAAGTTAACAGGTGGGAAGAAAAGCCCCCAGTCTGGGCCAGTCTAAAAAGAAGACAAGGCGGTCACTCCCCGCAGCTGCCATCACCAACAGAGACACAGCCCCAGGGGTCCTGGAATGGGCCCTGAGCAGAGGCCACTGAAGCCCTTAGGGAGGCCCCTGCAATGAAAGAAAAGCAGGGACACACACACAAGGGGGGAGGAAAATGGCAACAAAATAGAGAGAACTGGAACTCCCTGAAAGTCCACACTGAGGGGCCGCCTATGGGCCAACAGCCTGTTTGTGCATCATTCCAGTTCCAGGAGGAGTACGCAGCCTGGGCTCTGTCTGAAGCCCCGGAACAAGTCTGAATATACCACGTCCACAAGTGCACCCAAGCAGTACAAAGCAAAGACAAGCATCTGCACCCTCACCATGCACCATACACCAGCCCTCCACCAGGCTCCTTCCCCTCCTGGCCCCAGCCCCCACCTGCACTCACAGACTCAGCAGAGCAAATAAAAGGATTCCCAGGCGTCTCCCAGCTTTATTTCCCTTTCATACAGCCGTAACATCTCCACATTGTCATCCTGTCCCCCAAAGACCCCCACGCAGATGGAGATTGTGGAGAAAAGCTGAGGACTCAAGAACAACAATTCATCAGGTTGCGTGCAGTCAGACAAAGCTCCCAGAGGTCACTGCATCGTCAAATGTGAAGAAGGGCTCATTCCCAGAGCGCTCTGGCCCTCACTGCTGGTTGTCTCCCTGCAGAGTGAGACAGGCAGAAAGAAAGAAGGTGGGGGAAGGGGGCCTTAGAGAACAGGGTGAGGGCCTAACGATGCTTCCCTGGGCTTGGGCCAGCACTGGGGAGAGAAGCCAGGGGTCCACAGGAACAACACAGGGACTGGAGACTCGTTTTCTTCCTCAGGCCCACACCAGGCAATTCTCTCAAGCTGGAGAAGGAAAGAGAGTTTCAGGGAGATGCTCCGAGTCCCCTCTGGTGTCCAGCCTCTCATCATTCTGAAGGGCCTGCCTCACCACCCAACCAGTCCTCAGCCCAGCCTCATATACCCTCCTCTTTGCTTGGCCCCCTTTAGCCCAGCCCCTCTCTCCTTCCAGGCCCCCAGAGTCTCACCTTTGGCTGTGAGAGAGACATCTGACCCCTGTGCACTGTCATTGCCTGGAGACAAAGGAGGGAAATGACCCAGTCAGGGACATACATCCCAGAACCAGGGTATGGAAAGGGAAGGGGACACCAAGGGAAGGCTACTGGGTTAAGCCTCCCCTCTGCCTTCCCATTGCCCAGGTCCTAAAGATACCATGGGCTGGGTCCTTCCTTCTACCCTCCATGTCTACCCTTCACTTACCTGCAGCCTGAACATAGTCCCCTCCTTTTCCACCTGGAAAAGAAACAAATTCCCAGTGAAGAATCCAGGACAGGAGACCACACTAAGGTCTCAGGAGTTCACTGGACTGTCTTGGAGACACAACAAATTACAACTGGGACTGCACCCCCACCTCCCACTCCAGTCCAGCCTCTGGATCCAAGAGGAAGAGAAAAGAGGCCCCCCCCAAATGGGTACTTCCCCACCTCCAGGGGTTCCCAAGGCTGGCCTACAGCCTCCAACTGGGGGACACCCAGGCCCTCTGAGTCTGAAGCAGATTCCCCACTAGGCCAGCCTGTTATACTCCTGCCAGGCATCCTCGAGACAAATGGTTTCTAGTTGGGGATTTTGTTCATCTGGAGTCTTAGGGACCATCTGAGAGTCCCTTAGATGGAAAAGAGAGGACTTAGGGACAGAAAGACAAGCTGTGGGTCAGGGAAAGCCAGGATCTCCATTGAGCCTGCTCCCTAAGGACCCCTCATAGTCCTGCCCACCTGAAGTGTTTCTCCAGATCACAAATCCAGCGACGACTGCAATGGTGAGGAGAAGGACCCCCACAATGTACCAGGTGGAGGAGGACTCTGGCTCTGAAATGGAAAAAGGCAGTGAGACCCCTGATCCCTCTGGGGCTGAGAGTCACAACCCCTCCCCCACCTCCCACCAGTCACTCTACCTCCCTCTGGTCTTTTGGGGTGTGGGGGATGGCCTTTCCCAGCCCCTCCTCACGGTCCTTACCCCACTTCAGGGTGAGGGGCTCAGGCAGTCCTTCGTGCTGAACTCGGCAGGTATATTTCCCTTCCTGGCCCGAGGTCACATCCACACCTGCCCATTTCTGGAAGGTCCCGTCCCCCGCGGGCCTGGTCTCAATGAACTCCGTGTCCTGGAGCTGCTCCTCCCCATTCCTCAGCCACGTCAGGGAGATGTCCTCGGGGTAGAAATCCTGGGCCCGGCACCGCAGGGTCACCTCCCCTTGGGGGGCAGTGTGGCGGGTCACTTGGGCGGAGGGCGGGTCTGGGGGCAAAGGTCAGCGGCATGACCAGGCTCTCCTTCCTTCCTCTCCAGGGGCACAAGGATGGGTGGGGGAAGGGGGAGACCCCGCAATCCGGGCCCTGGGGTACAAGGGGTGCCCGGGGGTCGGGAGCGCGGGCCTAGGGCTGCAGGGGAGGGAGAAGGGTGGCGGGGGCCTTGAGTGCCACGCACGGGGTACCTGTCCTCTTCAGCGTCTCCTTCCCCATCTCCAGGTACTTCTTCAGCCACAGCACGCACGTCTCCTCCAGGTAGGCTTTAACTCCCTCCGCGATGCTCTTTTCTGCCTCCCACTTGCGCTTGGTGTTCAGAGCCTGCGGCACCGCCGCCGTCCACGTGGAGGTCTCCATGTCCAGGGCAATGTAGTCTTGACCGTCGTAGGCGTGTTGTTCAAACCCGCGCTTGAAGGTGAGCTCGGGGGAGACCTCGCAGCCGTACATGCGCTGGATGGTGTGGACCCCTGCCCCGCCCCGGCCCGGGTCAGTGCGGACGGACTCCGGCTGCCCCCGTGCCCTGCCCCCACGCGGATCCTCCAGCCCCAGGAGCCCCCCCCACCCCGAGCCGTAGTGACCGTGGGGCAGCTCGGACCCGACCCTTCCCCGCCCCGCTCCCACCCACGTCACGTACCGCCCTCGCTCTGGTTGAAGTAGCCGAGAGCAGTCTGCAGGTTCACTCGGGTAGTCTGTGCGTTCGCCTTATGCTTCCCCGTCTCCTGCTCCCAGTAGCCCGGCTCCTCCTGCTCCACCCGCTCCATCCACGCCGCCCGCGGCTCCTCCCTCGGACTCGCGCTGGCGCTGTCGAAGCGCATGAACTGCTGATCGTCCACGTAGCCCACGGTGAGGAACCGCGGCTCCTCGAGCTCAGGGGAGGCCATGGCGGCATCGAAGTACCTCATGGAGTGAGAGCCTGAGACGTGGGGACCGGGGGCGGGTCAGGGATCAGGACGGTGACCAAGTACCCCCGGCCCCGGGGGTCCCGGGTCTGAGGCCAAGGCTGTGGCGCAACCTTTGACCCCGTACCCTCCAGCGGCGTGACCCTTGACCCGTGCCAACTGGGGCGCGACCTTTGCGCCGTCGCAGCAGATGTGTAACCCTTGACCCCTTCGCGACCTGCGTGTGACCCTTAACCCCGCCACGCCCGGGATATTACCCCAGACACCTAACCCTGCCTCCTGGAGAGGGCTCCCTCCCCACCGCCGGCATTCTGGTCCCTCCGCCTTCGACACTGATGGCGCCAGGAGGTAATAATTCTCTTTTTTGTTTTTTGGGTTTTTTTGTTCTTGTTTTTGCTTTTTGGCTAGGCAGTGGGGTTAAGTGACTTGCCTAGGGTCACACAGCTAGAAAGTGTTATGTGTCTGAGGCCGAATTCGAACTCAAGTCCTCCTGAATCCACGGCTGGTGCTCTATCCACTGCGCCACCTAGCGCCCCTGCCGGGAGGTAATAATTCTCGAGACTACCGCGCTTTGAGATCGGCAAAACGCCTTCACTGACAGCCTGGGCAGGTCCTAGTGCCCCTTCACCAGGACCTTGACCCCCCACTGGACCTCTGGTCCAGGTCCCAAGTCCTTCACACTCCTCACCCTCAGACCCCACCTCAGACCTCCTCCCCTGCCCCCGGCCTCATCCCCCCGCCCCCCACTATCCTCAGTGAAGCTCTTTAACAAAGCTGCTCCTGGTTCTGTCCTCGACTTTGGGGGTGGGGGGTTCCCGGACACCTCTGTTCCTTAACCCCCCCAGGACTGTCGCACCCATTCTCCCTCCTGGCTCCTCTGCCTCAACGCTCCTCGTCCTCACCCCCCACCCACCAATCCTCTGACCACCACCCGCAAACTAAGTGACCGACACCAACAGCCCCTCCTCCCTCCCCCTCCTGCCAAAGTCCAGCTAAGGGACTGGTCTCCGAGTCTGAGAGAGAGAGAGAGAGAGAGAGAGAGAGAGAGAGAGAGAGAGAGAGAGAGAGAGAGAGAGAGAGAGAGAGAGAGAGAGAGATTGATTCTTCCTTTCACTGTTATACCGAGAAATGAGCGAGTTGACCACCCAATTTGTGGACTTTATTAGCGCGCGGCTGCCAGGGATATTCACATCCAAATCAAGCAGCCCCCATCAGGGGTTGAGCTAGGGTTATATATAGGGAGTATACAGGACAGGGAGGGGGATGGATCTTTGAAGTCTGGCTGGTCAAGGACACCCTTCTCCCTCTGTGTAGATATGATAATGCTGTGCAAACTTTCTCACAATGGAGGCTTCCAGAGATATGATCTGAGGGCTGTGGCCTGAGCAGCCAGATAAGGGTCTTGCTAAGGAATTTGGAGTTTTCCATGGCCTAAAGGGTTCTATTACCTAAATGGTAAAATAACGTTCTGCATTACACACCAACACCCCGACTTCACCTGACATTAAGGCGCTGGTTCCCTGGAAACCTACCCTGGGCCACTGCCGGAGGAGCTTTCTCTAGGAAATCCCCTCCCACCCACACGTCCACCCCTGGACGCTGTGTCCAGTCTCCAGGCGGCCGCTTAAGTCTATTCTCTACTTGCCTGCCCAGGTCTCCTTCAGGGCCAAGGTCCCCAACAAAAAGAGACAACGCACATAAGGCTCCATGGTCCACAGAGAGAACTGAGACCAGTCGCGCTGGGTTTATAGAGGGGCGAATCCCTAACTTGTGGTTGGCTTCACCGAGGCTCCGCCGGCCAATAGCAAACGAAATTCTAAAAACGTCATTGGTGACTGGGCAGAATGAGCGCTCACAGATTAGGAGACCGACCGAAACTGAAACTGACTCGGAGGAAATCCCCAGCTTTGCAGACCTTCCCTCTTTCTGCGTCATTCCCAGGACAGCCTCTGAATCTATGGAGCCCCCGAGTCTCCCTCCTTCCCATCATCACTCCAGGAACACCGGCTCTTGTGCTCCCAGCTTGAACCAGAGGAAAAAAAGGCCCCAGCCCTCAACCTGCTGGCCTTCCAACCCCCAGCCCGCCTCAGTGTGACCCTTTCCCCTCCTTAGAAGTGAGGAAAACAATGTCCCTACCCAAAATTGAGGGCGTCTGAGGACTGGAGAAATCTGCAGACTGATTGGTGGAGGGCTGTACTGCCACCTCCTTTTAATGTCCTCCATCCCAGCTGTGACTCCGGCAAGTCTTGTAACCTTCCCAGGCTGTGTGGATAAGCAAGCAAGGGATCCAAGAATAATGACTGAATTAGAGTGCAATAACTGGAATTTGGAATCACAGTAGACTTGGTCTCACTACCGTAAAAGGGACAGCTAGGTCCCCAGTGGTTAGAGCTCAGGGCCCAGAGTAAGGAAAGCCTTAGTTCTAATCCAGCCTCAGATGTTAATAGCTGTGTGACTCTGGGCAAGTCACTTAACCCTGTTTGCCTCAATTTCCTTTTCTGAAAAATGAGCTGGAGAAAGAAATGGCAAACCACTCCAATTTCTTTGATAAGAAAACCCCAAATGAGGTCACAAAAAGTCAGACACAACTCAATAACAATAAAAGGAGAGAGCTTAATAAAATGGGAAGGAGTACTAGTTCAGCCTAAGATTGGTTCTTACCTGACTAACCCCAGCCCTTATGCGCATCCTTAATTGTTCACACCTGCTTACCTTCAAGGTCTAAGGGTCAGAGTATTCTAGCCTTTTAGGCGGGAGAAAGTTGGTGAGCCAGATGGTCTGAATAATTAAGCCCTTACGGTAGGAAAAGGGAAGAGGCAAGCTCTAACCTAAATTCCTAATCCCGTATTTAGACTTTCCAGTTCTGGCCCTCAACAGCTTACTATTCAAAAGCTTCCTTTTTCCACTTTGGGTGGGAGAGGCCGTAGTTCCGCAGTGATGCAGCATTTCACAGCACTTTGTCAGCAACGCTCTTCTCAGGGAAGCTCACAGACAAATATATCCTAAGAGGATTTTACCCTGATTCTCTCCCAACAGCAAATCATTTTATTTTTATATTATTATTATTATTATTATTATTATTATTATTATTATTATTTTCTGGGTTTTTTACATAAAATATACTATAATAATCATATAATAGATGTATTTGTAATGTAACAGTATTCAGATTGAAAAGAGGAAGAAATTTGCTTTGACAACTTAGCCTTCTTGTATTTCAAACATCACCAGTCATGTGATAATGATGTAAATACCTTTCAAACACATCAATTCATAGAAAGTCATTGATTTTGTTACCCAGTGTTTTCATGCTAATCATAATAGTTTGTGTAGTGCCTGCCACATGCCACGTGTCTTGAAAGTTGCTTATGCCTATTTGTAATAATAATTTAAAATGTTTAGTCTGTAATTTCCTAATGGTTACAAATGAACAGAAATCCTTATTATACTAATTTAACTCTGAATTCACCTAAATGAAATATAGTTGAATAATTTTTTTTAAAAAATCTCAACTTCCAGAGCAGCTAGGTGGTGCAGTGGATAGAGCACTGGCCCTAGAGTCGGAAGGATCTGAGTTCAAATCCAGAGTCAGATGCCTAACACTCCCTAGCTGTGTGACCCTGGGCAAGTCACTTAACCCTATTGCCTAGCCAAAAAAAAAAAAATCTAAACTTCCCCAGCAAGAGATAAATTCCATTTAAAGTTACTGTAGACATTATAAAACATTTAAAAGTGTACCTACCAAAACAAACCCAGGAACTATATGAACACAATTATAAAACACTTTTCACACAAAGAAAGTCAGATCTAAATAATTGGAAAAACATCAGTTGCTCATGGGTAGGCTGAGGTGATATAATAAAAATGACAATTCTACCTAAGCTACTTTACTTATTCAGTGCCATACCATCAAACTACCAAAAAATTTTTTCATAGAGCTAGAAAAAATAATAACAAGATTCATTTAGAAGAACAAAAGGTCCAGAATATCAAGGGAACTAATGAAAAGAAATGCTAGGGAAGGTGAACAAGCCACACCAGATGTTCAATTGTATTATAAAGCAGCAATCATCGAAACCACTTGGTACCGCCTAAGAAATAGAGTACTGGATCAGTGGAATAGGTTAGGTACATAAAACACAGTAATCAATGACTATACTTTGATAAACCCAACAACCCCAGCTTCTGGGATAAGAACTCACTATTTGACAAAAACTGCTGGGAATTCATGACCAAACAAGAAATAGAGAACGTTATGAAATTCAAAATGGGTAATTTTGATTACATTAAATTAAGGAGTTTTTGCACAAACAAAGCCAATGCAACCAAGACTAGGAGGGAAGCAGAAAACTGGGAGAGAATTTTCACAAGTGTCTCTGATAAGGGCCTCATTTCTAATATTTTTGTACATGTGGGTCCTTTTCCCATTTGTATGATCTCTTTAGGATAGAGTATTTAGTAGTGGTATTGCTGAGTCAAAGGGTATGCACAGTTTTATAGCCCTTTGGGTATAGTTCCAAATTGTTCTCCAGAATGGTTAGATCATTCCACAACTCCACCAACAATGCATTAGTGTTCCAGTTTTCCCACATCTTCTCCAACATTTATCATTTTCCTGTTTTGTCATGTTAGCCAATCTGATAGGTGTGATGTGGTACCTCAGAGTTGTTTTGATTTACATTTCTCTAATCAATAGTGATTTAGAGCATTTTTTCATATGACTGTAGATGACTTTAATTTGTTCATCTGAAAACTGCCTGTTCATATCCTTTGACCATTTATCAATTGGGGAATGAATTGTATTCTTATAAATATAGGCTTTACATACACAGTCCCATTAAACATATTTTCATATTAGTCATGTTGTAAGAATGAATTAGAACCAATAGGAGAAATCACTAGACAGAAAACAAAACAAAATAGAAGGAAAAGAAAAGAGCAAATAGTATACTTTGATCTGCATTCAAACCACATAGTTCTTTCTCTGGGTGTGGATAGCTTTTTCCATCATGAGACTTTAGGAGATGTCTTAGATCCTTGCATTGCTGAGAAGGGCTAAATCTATCAAAGTTAGTCAAAGTTAGTCATTGAACAATGTGACTGTTACTGTATATGTACAGTGTTCCCTGGTTCTGCTCACTTCACTCAACATCAGTCCAGACAAGTCTTTCCAAGGTTTTCCTGAAGTCTGCCTGCTCATCATTTCTTATAGCACAATAGTATTCCATTACATTCATACACCACAACTTGTTCAGCCATTCCCCAATGGATGGGCATCCCCTCAATTTCCAATTCTTTGCCACCACAAAGAGAGCAACTTCCAAAAAGGCCATTAACTTCCAAGATTTCAAATTTTGGGGCCCAATATCATCAATATGCTCCAATGTTTGGACAATTTTTCAATTCCACTAACAATAAATTAGTTTCACAATTTTTCCACATTTTCAACATTTGTCATTTTGCTCTTTTATCATTTTGTCAAATCTGGTAGGTATAAAATGATATCTCAAGGTTGTTTTAATCTTTCTCTAATCAATAATGATTTAGAGTATTTTTATATGACTATAAATTGTTTTGATTTCTTCTTTGGTCAACTGCCTGTTCCTATCCTGTATTGATTTACCAAATGGGGAATGACTCATATACTTATAGATTTGACATAGTTATAATTGCAATTTGTGAATTTCCCTCTATCTTATTTTTACTATTTTCCTTCTCAGCCTGTTTTTTTTAACCCTATCCTTGCTACCTTATCTTTTCCTTTTACCCACTTGTTTCTTATTTCACCCACCCTTCTAAAATCCCCTCCCTTATCTTCTCCCCCTACTCTCCTAATCTTACTCTATACACACTTGCAAAAATCCGTCTCCCACCATATCCCCCAGTTTTCTCACTTTTCTAGAAGTTCAGTAGACTTCTAAACCTCTCCGGATGTATATATTGTTTCTTCTTCAACCCAGACGAGAGTCAAGTTCTGACATTGCTAGCCCTTCACCACCACCTGTTTCCTCTGTATTAGTTCTTCCTTCTGTGCCCCATTTCTATGACATAATTGCTCCTTTTTAGCTTTTCCTGCACAATTTTGTTTTTTAGAATCACCCCATCATACACAAGTCAGTCACAGGCTTGCTATAAAACTATGTTAGTAATGACAGCAGTTTTAAGAACACTATTATTAATAATTACTCATTTTAATAACATTTTCACATATCGGAAGTAAACAATTTGTCCTTAAGCAGCACCTTAAAATTCTTCTTTAATGATTTCCTTATATTTTTTTCTGATATCACAGGTAGCAAACTAGCTTCTACACTCTCCTCTTTCACCCTCAGCCAGAGGCTTCTTAATTTCTCTTCACTTTCTGCCATCAGAGTGGTACCATCTGCATATCTGAGAGTGTTGATATTTCTCCTGGCAACCTTAATTCCAGCTTTTGATTCCTCCAGCCTGGCACTTCACATGATGTTAAGTTAAATGAAAAAGGTGACATACCCTTTTTCCGATCTGAAACCAATCAGTTCTTCCATGTTCCGTTCTACTTGCTGCCTCTTGGCCCTCATACAGTTTCCATAGGAGACAAGTAAATTTGTTACTCTCACCTCTTTGAGGACTTACCGCATTTTGTTGTGATCCACACAGCCAAAGGCTTTAGTGGAGTCAATGAAGCAGAAGCAGATGTTTTTTTTCCTAGAACTCTCTTGCTTCCTCCATAATCTGAAGAATGTTGGCAGTTTGGTCTCTAGTTCTT